GAAGTGCCCAGACATAGATTTGAGGGCTTTTTAAAACAAGAAAAGTGCATTGTTTCAGCACTTCTCTTTGTAATGACATTTTCTCCTCTCTGATCAAGAGAATCCCATAGGGATATGATATGTGGCACTGTATAAAAGGGGTCGCTCTAGATCACGTTCAGTGGGAGTGAAGCAGTGCCTGATTCCACAAACTACTACTTTTTTTTTTTTTTTATTGGACTGTCTCTACCAGAAAGACATACAAGCCCTTTTATTTCCCTTTTGGTAGGAATTGGAAGGAAAATAGCTCACCATTTCAAGGCCGGAAAATATTACTCTGATAAGGAGGAGTCGCTGAACTTTAGGTAAATTCAGACTGGGACACTTTATATTTTTTGGTTAATTTAAGTAACAAAAACTTTTTTTGTAACTGCACTTGATTTACAAGAAAGACGAGGGAAATGAACATCTACCAAAGATGATTGCTTAAAAAGGTGTAACTCCTAGAACCTAAAAAAAAAAACCAGTGTGAGAAGTAGTAGAGGCATTGAACAACCTCAGATGATAATGTGCTCGGACCCATTGTGCTTTGAATTGGCCAGCTATGAAGATTTCATAAAAGGAAAAAAAAGGCATTTTGTACCTGTAGATATGGGATAGCATTTGACTATCTGGAACGTTTCCCTGTCGCACCTCAGTCAGGAATTGCCGTGTCTCTTAGATTACAGCTTCACATCGCAGTTCTGCCAGTGTTAATCTAGCTAATGTTCAGTCTTCCTTACTTGCCCGATCTGCAACAGGTACTTGAATTTGTTTCCCGACAGAGGTTCTTTGGTTAGTTGGTTTATTTTTTAAATGGCAATGTGACTTGCACACGAAGGAATTGGACTCGCTACCAGTGGGGAGTGCTGGGAGCTGTGACTGTGGAGCAAGTTCCACTGCTCAAGAGGACTCAGGACTTGAGCCGTGATTGTTTTTACTCTCCTCTGCTCCATACCCCTCTCTAGAGCGACAGTCAAGGAGTGGAAATGTTTGAACACTTGCGCCAGATTATTTTCCCCCCCGTAAGGAATTGGAACTGATTTGCGTGACTGAATAACGTCCTGTTTTGTCTCCAGAACGCTTGTAATATTTTTCACAGCCAAGCTTGTCAGACTTGCTTTGGGTTTTGTTAGCTCTGCTGCACAACAGTTACAGATCTTTTGGTTCTTTTTTTAGTTTTTGTTTTCTTTTTAAGCAGGATTTAGTGTTTCGAACAAACCTCTTGCAGTTGAAACATGTTGCTTATCTGCCTTGAAACTGTTTTCACATATGCCTTTGTTTCGGGAATAAGCTGTTTCGAATGTCTGTCCTGTGCTGTAACGCGTGCTACAGTTTGCTGTGTGGAATTTGGTCCTTTTGAGAGATAACTGGTGCTCATCACATCCCGGTAATTTCCCTAGACTAATGTTAGCTCTGGTCTGGATTCTGAATGTGGGCTTGGGTTTTTTTATGTTCATACCCACATTCGTGATGTGAATCCCACAGGTCTCAACTTTGAAGGGGACAAAAGGGGGCTAAAGTTTCAGCCCATAAGAGTGCACTGTAAATAGAGTCTTTAAAAAATCAAAAATTAATATTAGGGGTCATAATGGGATACGAATCTTTTTATTCATTCATGGGTCATTCCCTTTGACACGGGACAAATTTCTTCTGCCGCTGTAGTCCAGTCCCTAGTCTGTGTGATGTGGAGGCTAACACACCGTTGTCTGGGAGGCTGAAGAGTCTCACGTCTTAAGGTGTGTAGCTGGAAAAGCCACAAAACAAATGCAGCTATGAGAATACTTTAAAAAAGGGAGGACTTAGAGGGTATCACCAGCTTAGTTTCGTGGGCATTATGTTGGTTGCTTCTCTCTTAAACAATAAGCACTTAAGTTTACTATCGGTTAGAAATTAAATACCAATCACTTTTTATTCTTGACAGTTTTAAAAATCTGCATTGAATCTGCAACTTTGGCCTGGTAAGTTTGCCATTCTCCTTTGGGGAAACTAGCTCGTACCTTTTAAACTGTTTATCTTTAAATCGTGTATTAAAAAGAGAAGAGAAAAAGGGGGGAGGAAGAGAGGGAAATTAGTGAACTGCAGACATCCTGCAGTGAGACACTACAAAACAAACAACTCAAAGTAGAAGAATGAAGCTTGCATAACTAGGAGCAACAGTCTCATTCACTGAATTTCATAAGCGGGAATGAACTGAAAATGCAGTTAGTTCCTGTAACGATCTTTACAGAAGTCATGATACTAAGGGCTTAAGAGCAGTTGACTGTATTTTCTGATTCCACTCCAAAGCAACTCCTGCTAGAATTCAATTGGCTGTCTCTGGCTCAAGTGATATGAAAAGCCCCATAAACTCTATTCACTTTAGCACTTCCCCAATTCTGCCACTTCTGTCAAGTTGCCATACTGTGTCTATTAAAGTAATTAAATGCAATTTTCTCACTTAATGATGTATTACCCAGGTATGTAACTTTGTTTAACATAAGCGTTTTGTATATTGTTTACATTTTGAGAGGTAGCATTACGTTAAAAATGCTAATTTTTGTTTCTAGACAGTATTTTTATTACCAGAATAAGAAGTGAAGCTGCAAATATTTGATTTGTTTTTAAAAGGGACTTTTTCTTTTGTTTTTGTTGTTTTGTTTTGGGTTTTGTTTTTTTTTTTTTAAATCTTGTTTTAGGTCACTTTTTTAACTCAAGTATTTAAAAGGAAAACCCAGCCCTTTCAATTCTGGTTTTACAACTGCTTGTGCTAGTTTGTTGTCTGTTTCCAGTGTGAATTTAGTTCTAGTTTGCTGAATGTAGATATTTCTGTCTGTAGCATGTACCCTGCGGAACACTTTACACTGAAGTGCATTTGACTGAAAACCACCCTCGGCTGAAAGAGTTGCAGTAGGTAGACGGATCGCTCAGATCCTGGTCAGAGTGCAGGATTTTTCAAGAAATTGCAGTGCGATTCTTTGGTCAACTGAAGTTTCAAAAAGAAAAAGAAGTTGTTCAGTGTGCAGTGTCTCCAGGGCCCAAAGGCAGGGTGAGTTTGTGTGAGAAGCGAGCTGCAGGATCTGTAGTCCTGCCTGTACCGAGGGTGTCTCTCTTTCTGAACGTGAGCCTAATCTGTCAAAATTTAAGAACTAAAAACTGCTTTGAACCTAGAACTTGTATCTTCCCCATTGAGATAACTCCTACAGCGTAAATAAGAGCGGGAGAGGGAAGGCAGAGTGCGGAGTCACAGTTTGGGTGCTGTTCTGCCCCAACAGTGCAATAAAAACCACTCGAGAACACGTTGGGTCACCCTTTAATAGGACCCACGTGTTCTGGAGGTACCAGGCAGCACCCGCCCCTTGTGTCAGCTTTGGTGTCAGCGCTAGGAAGAGGGCCGGGTATTTGCTCTATGTAAGAAGAATGTCAGCAGGAGTTCACTTCTCACAGCACGGAGCGGTGGGATCCTTCCCTCTGGTCTCATACACGCCTCTGATTGACCTGGTTTTAATTATAAAAGCCACGATCCTGAAATTCATCCCAGGGAGAACTTCTGGGGTAGTAGGTGACTCCAGATTTCCTGCATAAATGAGGCTGTACTCCCACATCCGAGAATCCTAGCTTTGAATTGGATTATCATAATCAGCAAGAACACTAAAACACTTGAGTTGTCTTTCCCTTGCTGGGAGGAAGCTCCTGCTCCTCCAGAGCGCTGCCGCAGCTACCTTCAGCGGGGACGTCAGCTGGGGACTCGCCTCTTAGCCCAGGAAAGGCGCGAAGCAAGGTTGTGTTGTAGTTACGGGCCGTGTTTGGTAGGGGTTGTGTCTTGGCCTCGACGGACGGATGCCTCCCAGTCCTGTGACTACTATGCAGTCTTTACAAGATGTCTCCCTTCAAGCTGCACAGAGGTCAAAGCGTTTAACCTCGAGGTGGTACAAACCCTTCAGAAGTCAGTGTGTGTGTGTCCTAAACTTGGTTTGCAACACTGCGTAACCGATCTGAGACAGATCGCCCTTAAAATAGCTCCAAAAACAAACCAGCTATCCTCCCCCCGTCTGTGTCTTAACGCCCCGTTTCAGGTTTGCCTGGTAACTTCCCCTACTTCTGCAGAGCCATTCTCCAGTATCCGTATTAGCCGCTACCGATTTTTCTTGCTCTTTGAGATGAATTCTTGCGAAATAGCAATGGCAAAGCTCGGGGAACCAACTGCTGGTCATCCATCGTTTTTAGTGGTTTTGGTTTTTGCCACTTGGAAGTTGTGCTGGTCTTTGTTTAGCTGCACAATGCTAAAAGCAGCTGGATTGAGTTGTGTCAAGCGAGCGTATAACACGCAGGTCACAAGGGTGGGCAGGGCTAATCGGTGCAACTGAAAAAATGTGAATAAATTAAGTTTAAAACTGAAAAAAAAAAAAAAGAAAAAAAAGCATTCTAGGTTTTTTCACTGCTGTTTTTTAAATAGGAATTTTAAGTCCTCTGTGCTTGTCTGTTTGCTAGGAGCAGTTTGAGACACTGTTACTGTTTTGAAATGCATGCATGTTACAAGATGAGTCTCCAACCAGAGAAAAATAAAATTAAAACTTTGTGTACATCTGTTCCTTACTGCTGTCCTCTTTAAAGTGTCTTCTAATGATCAACTGTTACTCCATGAGGTATGTGGTCGTTTTAAGTCCTAGATTAACCACAATTGGAAAAGTCTTTTTATATGTGCCTGTAAAATGGGGGTTTTAAGTGAGAACTGATTTTACCAAGTACCGAGTCCTGGATATGAGAACAAATTAGATTTGACAGGAAAAGTTAATACTGCCACGCTGTCTGAAGGAGATGCTGCTGACTCCCTAGGGTGCAGCTTTAGCTTAGTCACTCGCACATCTGGGTGCACTGAAGGAGATTAGTATAGGTGGCTCAGAGAGAAGGGTAAGCTCTGCTACCGTGTAAAACCCAAGCTCCTTCCGATAGCTTTAGAGATGAGAACTTAACCCTAGCGTTCAGACTCAAGAAAAGGAAAGTTCACTACAATAGAGGGTTTTATTTAAAAAAGTTCCAAGCAGACTGGGATGTGAAACACATGAGCAGATGTGCTGGGCTAGTCCATGCGGGCTTTCAGGGTCCTGGTGGTGATCTTGTCTTTTTCACTAGAGGGGGAAAGAGAGAAGACTATTAGTAAATCCGCCTTTAATACCTACATACAGGTTGTCCCTTCATTAGGAAGTTGCAGTGTGCATAGGTGGTTTGTTTGCTAGTACAGGCAGCAGCATCTGAACTTGAAGGTGGCCATTACAACCGAGTAAACCCCACCCTCCTGCCGCTTCACCCCAGGGAGCTCCAGTAGGTTCAGTAAGCGGCAGTGCCTGGGATACCCCAGGAAAACAACACTGCAAAAAAAATAAGCTGCTTCAGAAGTCAGTCTGGTTGCAGTCTGGAAGTTTACATTGCACCCAGCTGTGGCAAAAAGCAACCTCTTGGCCAGTGCCAGCCATATGTGAGGAGTCACGCTCCTAAATGCCAATGGGAATGCAGTTAGGGAATCCCTATGTAGCAAGAGTCTAACTCTAGGATTCATTTCCCATGGCTCCTGCAGTTCTAGCAACAACCCTGAACTGCAACAGAGAGCAGCCATGAGAAATAGAACACTTAAAATGGACAAAACATTACTAAGGATACTGCTGGAGGGGAGCAGGATTAAGGGATACCCTGGAAGCCAATGCCTTAACTGACTTTAACACACAGCTTGTTGAATTCTACCTCTGTTCTGTAGGGGAGGAGAGCAGCACTTACATTATGTGTACTACCACGCCCATTCCAGATATGGCATCTCTATCCACTGCATTCAACATGGCCTGCGAGATCGTTTCAAAGAGGTGATCGGGTTCCTGAGGAACAGAAGCTATTTTAGTTGGTGTAAAAATTGAATGTTGAGTCATCAGATTTACTTCAAACCCCAAGTATCATCCAAGATGCTGCAAGATTGTTCCTGCAAGCTACAGCCTCTTTGTTCTCCTTCGGGAAGTACCAAAGGACAGAGCTTTTCATCCAACTTGCATTATCTCAGGTTCTGCAGTTAACAGCAGGAGGCTGAATCCAAGAATCGGAGCTGAGCCTGACCTCACTCACCATGTCGGGCTCCCACAGGGACTCACACATGCCGTACATCTGCTCGGAGCAGGTGCCGCTGACCACGAAGTCATCGGTTATCATTGGGCAGCCGATCAGGTCTAGAGAGCAGATGAAAGGTTCGTGTGTTACGGGGTCCAGCCCGGCAATGACTGGTTCTGTGTAGTAAGGTCCAAACCTGTAAAGAACAACATGGCATAGAGCAGTCCAGCCACCTCGACGCAGTTCCACATCCCATGTAAATATCCACAGGAGGAAAACATCCCCCAGATGATTTTTTTTGGGGGGACGGGGACGGACACCTTTCAGGTTAACCTGGAAGCACCCTGCAATGGATTTAGCATGGCAAGCAGAACAAACCTGTACTGCTACAGGATTATTTAACAATACTCGATATTCTTTTGCAAGGAGGTTGAAGATAACATTGTCACTAGATTAAAGTCTCCTTTTGCCATACCACAAGCAGTCTTCACGGAGCCCTCCTCAGCCTCCCACCTCTCTAGAATCAGGTCAACCCCAACAACCACAGCATTCACTGACACGTAAACAGTGACTCCGTTGTTTGACAGTTACCGTCTCTCATAGAGCAGATTGGAAACCATGCTCATAAAAGTCTGAGGTTTGATCTGCCTGCCTTCCTTCAGCTCGTAGAGATTCAGCCTGAACTTCAGTCTCTGGGCACTGCAAGAGACAAGAATCAGCGTTAAAGCAGAAGCAGGTCCCTTTTTCTTTCATCTTCACCCAGGTCTGAACTGTTCTACTGCACGCTGACAGACAGCAGCTCCTGATGCATGCCTGAGGCAGGTAGGTATTCCAGATGCAGCTCCTTTTATACCTGAAGTTATTAAATCTTAGTAGTGACGTGATCTTAAATCACGTGCAGTTTTATTTAAAAAACTCCCACTGAAGGGAGACCAAGAAAAGGAGTGCTGGCACCCAGCTGTTACATCTTCCCCCACGAAAAAACAAAGACATTTATGCTCAACATAGGCTGCCACTTGGTATTTATTGTAAATATGCCTCTTACAGGCTCAGTATGGGAACACACGGGCGGGCGGGAGTCTCACTTACACCGTCTGCACGTCCGTGGCC